AAGTGCCTTACTAGTAGTAGCAAGTGCCTTACTAGTAGTAACAAGAAAGCACCCAAGGGTGAATGACTGAACCCTGGCCCCGTGCTGTCGTCCTGGAAATCCACTGTGCCATTGTTGTCACGGTCGATCTCGTGCCAGAAGCGTGCAATGCGGTTCCTAGGGTTTTTACCACAACGAACAAGAAAGCTACTGGGGGCTCCTGGCCTTACTACTAGGAGCAAGAAAGCTACTACAGTAGTTTTCGTGGCGGCTTGCTGCGAGCTGGTAGTGTTAAGCGCGTCCGACGGGTGTGCAACATAGAGCGGTCGGGACAACGAAATCAAACAGCCCGAATAGACATCTACAGTAAATACACATATGTGAACTAGTTAAACAATAGATATATATATATATATGTATAGATAGATATATACATGGTACTTGTTTCAATTTGGCAATGATGACCGACAGGATCCACGACATGAACCCTTCGGGGGTGTCTCCCCCGTACCATGTGCACTCAAAGCTTTTCCACAATGGCTGCCCTCGAAAATGATAAACACCATCCCACTGTCGTAGTGAAGTTCCACACCAACCCCTTGAGGACTTCCCGCTCTTTTCGGCCATGTCTCGGGGGCAGGTCGGAGCGGGTCGAACAATGCAGGAGCTTGTGAATCATGTGCTCGAACTCCAAGAAGTCCTAAGGGGGCGAGAAAAAACAATAACGCAAACAATAATACGTAATACACTAAGAACAGAAAACAAACACCACCTTCTTTCAAGCGCAAACACTCCAAGTCGTGGTTTTAGGTCCAGCAATCTAGGGGTACCTGAAACTCACCACCCACCATCAGTGCTTGAAACTCACAACCCCATCTGAACAGGAGCGAGTTTGGATATTTTTAAACTAAGGGTACTGCGATGGGAAATGAATGAAAGGAAGCAAGCAGCGCAAGCAGGGAAAAATAGGAACAAGACCACTCCTATCGAAGAACATGCGTATCGAAGAACAGTACTTCCCCGGCCCTGCCATGGAGTGAAACAGCGCAGGTGGAACCCTGTTAGAGCGGGCTGCAGCTGGATGTCTGATCAGCTTGGAGGTTTGGGTATTGGACCACAAGTATTTCAATAGACGCAGAAGTCTGGAAAAGGGAAATACCTTGGGCCTGTTTCAGAATCATGTACCTGAAGAATGGTAAAGGTGCGAAAAAAAACATCCAAGACAAACCACTGCAAGTTCACGTGTGAGGTCATGTTAATTGTGCGCTCGCAAAAAAGGTCAAACCGAGTCAAACCATGCTAAACCTGAGACTGTGCAAAACCAGAACGCAAATGACCATCCCCGAAGCAACAATTCTGCTCATTCCAGTGAGCTAAACAAGATCTACAACATGTTTTGACCCACATTCGTATGGTCCGCATCAGTTTCTCCACAACACTTGAGAACGCATCCATTTCTTCTTCGAGAGACAATGACACCGGACTTGTCCAGATCGAAACTGTCCTTAGGGTGATCATAGGAATATATAATACAAGCAGTTCCCGGGCAAGCTGGCGGCGGAAGTTTCCTATAAGAACAAACTGACCTATAGGCTATAGGAGTGTTCCGGTTCTCTCAAACACGCGCGTCCCCCAGTCAAACGCACGCGCTCCGGACTTCAACCTTCAGTACAAACTTACCTGTTGACAAAACAATCAACTGTAACCAGTGTTGGGTTATGATGAGTGGTGTATGATGAGTGATGTATGATGAGTCTTGTATGATGAGGGGTGTATGACGAGTGGTGTATGATGAGTGGTGTATGTTGAGTGGTGTATGATGAGTGGGCAGCGAGAGATGACTCAGCAATGAGAGATGACTCAGCAACCACAGATGACTCAGCAGCGAGAGAATGACTCAGCAGCGACAGATGACTCAGTCGCGAGAGATGACTCAGCAGCGGAAAATGACTCAGCAGCGAGAGATGACTCAGCAGTGAGAGATGACTCAGCAGGGAGAGATGACTCAGGAGCGAGAGATGACTCAGCAGCGAGAGATAACTCAGCAGTGAGAGATGACTCAGCAGCGAGAGATGACTCAGCAGCGAGAGATGACTCAGTCGTGAGAGATGACTCAGCAGCGAGAGATCCACAGGTTGCTCCGCATACTAAAGTTGTACTACATAGTCGCCAGTTCTCAGCCTCCAGCTCCCCAGATGCTCCGCGTACTAAAGTTGTACTGCAAAGTGGCCAGTTCTCAGCTTCTAGCTGCACAGGTTGCTCCGCGTACTACAGTTGTACTACAAAGTCGCCAGTTCTCAGCCTCCAGCTCCCCAGTCACTCCGCGTTACTAGAGTTGTACTACAAAGTCGCCAGTTCTCAGCGTCCAGCTCCACAGGTTTCTCCGCGTACTAAAGTTGTACTACAACGTCGCCAGTTCTCAGCTTTCGCGTACTAAAGTTGCACTAGAAAGTCGCCAGTTCTCAGCTTCCAGCTCTACAGATTGCTCCGCGTACTAAAGTTGTACTACAAAGTCGCCAGTCCTCAGCTTCCAGCTTTACAGATTGCTCCTCGTGCTAAAGTTGTACTAGAAAGTCGCCAGTTCTCAGCTTCCAGCTCTACAGATTGCTCCGCGTACTAAAGTTGTACTAAACAGTTGCCAGTTCTCAGCTTCCAGCTTTACAGATTGCTCCGCGTACTAAAGTTGTACTACAACATCGCCAGTTC